AGTTGAAGTCTGTGGGGCAGGCCTTCCCCCCACTCCTCCCAGGGAAGGCATTCCAGGAGCAGCCGCACCCCACCATTGGGCAGGCTCAGGAACAGTGGCTGCACCTGGGGGCGGGCAGGTGCTTTCCCATGTCGCCATCAACACCTCTCTGGTGATATCTGATGCAGTTCTGAAGGCCACACCTGGGCATGGGAACGCACAGTTCAGGGCTTCTGGCCAGGAGGCCTCGTGACCTGCTTCTCGGCTCCTTCCACCCGCTCCTCTTGTTGCCTTCTGGTTGTCCCCTCCTGTGCTTGGGTCAGGTGACTCAGTCCCACTTGGTTTCCTCCGTCCAGGGCAGAGCCTGCTACCAGCTCAAGGCTGTTCTGGTGCTCAACCCAAGATAGCGGAATGTGACCCCAGCCCTCACAGGCCCCCATGAGCAGGAACAGCTAGGCCTGGGGCATCAGTGGACGGCAGAGTGTGGATTTGAATATGGGCCCTGCCACTTGACCACTGTCTGAGCTCCTCACTCTGCTGACCTCCCTGGGTCTGTTCCCAGGTGTAGGATGATAGGAGACACCTACCTCCTAGTGCTGCCCTAAGGCTAAAAGGAGACCTGCGTGTGGACCAGTTCTCAGCACAGTGTTCTCCGGTCGCCTTCAGTGCGTGTGCAGTTGCTGCTGACTGCCGAGGCATCTGACCTGGTCTCTTCCCATCCCCAGTGACATGGGGTCATGTATAACTTGTACCTACAACTGGTGAAGTTGGTTAGTATTCTCATCGCTCTCACGCGTGCCACTGGTTCCTCCAGCAGACCCAGGACATTGAGCCCGTGGCTGCTAGTCCTAGTGTCGGCTGTGGTGCAATCAACCCTCTGGAGAACTTGTCTTCTCCCAGCAGCGCCTCTCGCCATGCCTACCTTTGGTTCTTTACTCCTGCTGCCCCCCACCTCCTGGGCCCTGTGGGTTGAGGCCTCTAGCAGCTTTATCAAGTCATGAGTCTCTAAAGGAGTCAGTAAAAGCAAGCCTGGCCGCTTTGGGTCACTACTGTGCAAGGTAACCATGGGTTGGAGCCAGCCCTGATGGCCCTTTTAGAGACACGTGCCTTCCTGTCCCTGCTCCATTGGGCCACGCTCCCCTGCATCTCTATGTTGCCTGCCAAGAGCATGTGATTCTCCACCAGGCCTGTGGGCAAGGAGAGCTGGGATGACCATTTCCACTTGGCTGAGAGGAAGCTGAGGCTCAGTGGGGTATAGCGGGAACAGAACCTATCCAGCTTCCCCAGATCTCTGAGGAGGGGTGTCCCAGCCACAGGAAATGGCTTGAGCAAAAGTGGAGATAAGCAGAATTCAGAGAATACAAAGGGGGCTGTGAGGCTGGGACTAAATGGTGATGCTTCCTTGGCTGCCACCACTACACCCTTATCCCTGAGCCATTCCACAGAGCGGGGCAACCAGGCAGCTCCAGAGCTGGGAAGAGAGCTCAGCACAACCCACCAACCTGCCCCTGACTCTCCTCTCTCCCTTCTTTGCACTCCAACCTCTGCATCTGTCCTCCCAGCTGAAAACTCTCTTCCCAGGCCCTGCATGCTCACTGCCCCATCTTCTCCAGGTCTTCGCTCAGATGTCACCTTTCTCAGTGCGGCCTTCCCTGACCATACCAGCCACTTCCACCCCCTCCCTGCTTCATTTTTCTCCTTTGTGCTCATCACCGGCCAGCACACTCCATATATTGCTTATTTATCTAGTTTGTGGTCTGTTTGTCTCCACTGAAGTATAAGCATTACAAAAGCAGGAGATTTGATCTTTTGTTCACTGATATATCCTCAGTACACACAACTGACAAAGGTAGGGGCTTCATAAGTATTTAATGAATTTGTCAGGAGGGCCACTGTGAGTTGGCTTCAAGTTTTACTGATGGGTGGGAGCTAGAGGGCTGGCATCACATCCGAGCTTCAAACTCAAACCGAGTGCCTACCCCACCGTAGGCTCAGAGAGGTCAAGGAACTTTCTCACAATCACACAGCCAGGGAGTGCCAGAGCCAGATATTGAACACAAGTCTCACTATTCCCTGTTCTGCTTACAGTAATTGGGACCAAGCAGAAAGCTCATTATTCTTGTTATGAAGCTGTATCTTCGCCTGTTTCATCCTGGGCCAGAAGGACCTGTTCAGAGGCTGTCTCTCCCACTGGTCAGTGGGCTCCTCATCTCAGAAGGAGCCACATTTTGTCCATGGTACCATCTCCCCAGTACCCAGCTCAGCATGCTAGGCCGGGTACATGTGGATGTCTGACTGGATTGTGAGGATGCTCTGTGGACCACGGTAGAGGCAGACATCCAGGGCTTTAGTCCTGCCTCTGCCACTGTGTGACACTGGAAAGTTAGTTAATTTCTCTGATCTTCAGTTGCTATGAAATCAAGATCTTTGTACTTTGTACTCCAGAGTTATGTCTTCATAACTGTGGAGATTTGGATCAGGAGCTGCCACATGGTGCAGAATAAAAGTTAGCCTTTTAAAAAAATGTTTTTATTAATTTTAGAGAGGAAGGGAGAGAGAGAGAGAAACATCGATTGGTTGCCTCCTGCAAGCACTCGCACCCGACCTGGGATCAAACCCACAACCTGGACATGTGCCCTGACTGGGAAGTGAACGGGTGACCTTTCAGACCAACTGAGCCACACTGGCTAGAGCAAAATGTTAGACTTTTTATTTTGTTAAATGTGTTTTATTGATTTCAGAGAGGAAGGGAGAGAGAGATAGCAACATCCATGATGAGAGAATCATTGATAGCTGGGGTGATCGAGCCCACAACCCGAGCATGTGCCCTGGACGGGAGTCAAACCCAGGACCTTTCAGTCTACAGGCTGACACTTTATCACTGAGCCAAACCAGGTAAGGCAAAGATGTTAGACTTTTTAAAAGGTGAGAGCTGTGCATTTGAGTGAACGTCGCATTAGTGGAAATGTGCAAATAGAGGTTGAAAACCCTTGGGTATTTAACTTTATCCTCACAGGTAATATTACTACCCCATTTTATAAATTAGAAAACTGAGGCCAGAGAAGTTAAGACTCTAGGTCTAGGCAGAAACCAGGTTAGTGGACTGTAAGGGGAATGAACCAAAGGGAAAGATCAGAAGGAGCCATGGAGGATCCAGACCCGGTTGCTCAGGCTTAACGTGCAGTGGGTCCCGCGCTCAGAGGCATCTGGGCACCGCCCGCCTCCGCCCCGCCCCTTGTCCTCGGATTGTCCAATCGCACAGTCTTCATGCAAATAAAGAACCTAGAGAGAGCCTATGAGAGGGCGGCAGAGGCGTGGTCTTCATCCTCCTCCCGGGCAATGCTCTGATTCATTGTTAAAATAAAGAGGCTGTGACCTCCGTACCCAACCCTGGCACCCCCTTGTGCGTGGAAACTCGAGCTGAGGTTAGTTCTGCGCGTTGGAAAGGGTGGAGGGGAGGACGATAAGCCGGAAAAGGTAGAGGAGTGAGGGATATGGGGAGGGACTGGGGGACTGGCTGAATGGAGAGAGGTCTAGGGGTCCATTCTCCGGGTGGGGCATCCGTGTCCTCTGCAGGTTTTTCATTGTTATATCCGCATCTAAACTGCATTTCAGAGAAGGATTCTGCCAATTGGTTGCGGGTGGAGGAGGAGGAAGCGGGAGCAGTGAGGGGGACATGGAGTAGAGTCCTCTACATCCGCCCCCAGGGAAATGAGCAGCGGTCTCCATCCCAGGAGATACTCCTTTATGTGGTCAAACTGGGAAAGAACTGCTGGGCTGGGCGGAACCAAGTCCCTCCTGGTCTACCACTGGGAGCTGGGAGCAGCGATGCTGGGAGGAGAGCCCAGAGAGGATCAGAGACCCCACCGGGGGTCAGTGGGGGCCCCACCCTCCTCCCCACAGACCGTGCCCTGCTGCCTCCCAGGTCTGATGATGGAGAAGCCAAGAACCTTCGCCCTGGCTGCCCCAGTGGAGGACATGAAATTCCCCAGCTCTCGGGTGAGATTGGCAAGGAAGGCCTGATCCCCTGGGACGCTATGGAGGAAATTCTCCAGGTGAGGAAAGTACCGGGCAGTGACTTGGGGTACCATAGGGGCAGGTGTGTTTGGGAATATGGATTCCTCTTGCCCCCACCCCCTCCTGGGGCTCTCTGTGGGTTAGGAGGGCATCTTCAAGTCACTCTTCTGAGTTGGGTCCCCCCACCCCCACCCCAGGGCATGACAATGGAGCTCTCAGTGGCACAGAAGGGAGAGCCACAGGCACAAGTCAGAACACCAGGGTTCCTCTTTGGCCAGGCTCTGCCACAAACTTGCTGTGTGACTTTAGGTTGTTACTTTTGTTCATGACTTTGTCCTCAACTCTGAAAAGACCTGGCTGGCCTTTTGCCTCCCAGTATTTCCCAAAGGACCTGTGTGAGTTGGCAGTGTAATCCAGTGCCCCTCACTTCCACCTCCTTGTGTGTGTGTTGGGGGGGGGGGCGGGGGGGCGGGGAGAGACCTGGGTTTGAATCCAGTTCAGCCACTGGGGCCTTGCAAGTTATGAAACCTCTGTGAGCCTTCCTTGCTTCATCTGAAACTGACATGAATTTTATCCACAATGCAGGATAATTGTAGGGCAAGGGCACTCCAACTTTGTTTAAAATGCACACCCCTAGGCCTCACCTCCAGAGAGATTCTGAGTAGGTGGATCTGGGGAGGGACCTGGGAATATGCATTTTATAAACAGCTCTACTGAGTCTAGCAGGGTCCTCAGAACACACTTGGAGCAACACTGCAGTACGACTAGGAAGCATGTGTCAAGTGCTTGGCAGAGTGCCTGGTGCTTAGTAGGTGCTTAATGAGTGTTTGTTGAGTGAATACATGAACAGATGAATACATGGATGAATAACCTTATTTCCTTGGTCTTTGTCCAGGGGGAAGCTGGGGCTGGGGTCCGGGTACACTACTAGCCAGTCACCTGGTCCTCGCCTCCCTGCTCCATTCTTCCCGGGCCCCACCAGTGGATTGCAGGAGCTGCGCTGGCCTGACTCACCCAGTATGGAGGGGGAGGCTGGGAATGCCTCCTGCGCACACTGCGAGGCCAATGTGCTTGCCCAGAGCTGCTGTCAAAACTGCTTCCACCCTGAGGAGGCCTACAGAGCAAGGCACCAGGTGGGCCGGCGCTCCGGAGTGGTCGGGTGGTTTGGGATGAGGGAGGCCGTGACGGGCTGGGGCTGGACTGGGACACTCACTTGCAGTTGAACCCAGACACTGGCTTTCCTCCTGGGCAGAGCCTCAGTTTTTCCATCTGTTCAATGAAGTAGTGGGACCATGTGAATGTTTCCGAAATGCCAGTCATTCTCCCGATTTTATGGGTTTGTGTTTTGTTTGTTTTTTTGCCATTGCCTCATGTAATCTATTACATACCTTATTCTTTAAATCAACTCCCCTTTTTGACTTACACTAAAGCAGAACTTTACATCACCACCACAAATAGAAAACTAGGACCATGTCCTTTATATAAAAGGTTAAAAAGAAGGAAAGAGAAAGATGAAAAACAGAAGTGTCTTTAAATTCTAACTAGAGAATTTGTTGGCCAGAGGTTCTGAACCTGAGTCCTGCTGTCTGTTAAAAAGGGAGGTTGGGGGGAAAGGGGGGAGGTTGGCAGGTGCTAGAGAGATGTTCAAGATACCCCAGCAGCCACTGCAAAGGTTCTCCTTGAAGGTGTTGAAGGAGTGAAGCATTTTCTCACTTTGGGAACCATATGGTCTTGGGCCAAGTCCCTGCACACATAAACCCAGAGCTCCTGGTACACATGCTATGAGAAGCGTGGGACCCTGAATCTCCATGGGCCCTTCAGCCTTGGTGCCTCATGGCCCTGTCATTCCCACAGGGTCCTGAGGCTCCTCTTAAGCCTGGCAGCCAGCACCATGCAGGGGGTTAGGCTCCAAAGTGACCAATATCAGTGAGTCATTGTTCAGCTTTGGAGCCACACAGCCAGCGTTCCAGTGCCAGGTTTGCCATTTCCCCGCCGTGTGACCTTGGGTCATTTACCCTCTGGCTTCACTCTCCTAGAGAGTAAAGGCAACAAGGCTGCTCACTCAGGGCATCTGGCACTGCTTAGCCTCAGTCACATGTGGCTAATTCAATACGCCTTAGTTCCCTCTCCCTCCTTCCTGATCAGGCAAACCAACCTGGGAGATTCCTTTTTGCCTGTCCTGATACCTGTAGTAACAGCTCCCCTCCCCCCAAGTTCAGGGAACAGCGGCCGGAAAGCTCAGTGAGTCCATCTCCCATGCAAATCACCTTCTCCTGATGGGTGGGGAGATGGCAAGTCAGGAACAGGAGAAGAAATTTTGATTCAGACAGGTTTGGGTTCTAGGGTTAGTCCCTCCACTTCCCGGCTGAGACGGGCCAGTTCACATGTTCACACATATTGAATAGGTGCTTCACGTGAGCCAGGCACTATGCTAGGTATTGGGGAAACAGTGATAAGTAACACAGACACAGTCCCTGGTTCATGGGGCTTGCAAACTAGCAGGAGAAATGGAAACTAACTAATCGTGCAAAGAATTACGGTTGTGGTAAAGGTAGGAAGGAATAGCAAGTGGCATGAGGATCAATGAATGGTTTCTCCAAGGAAATGACATTTCAGCTGCTTGGTAAAGGCTATGTGGGGACCTTGGCCAGTGAAGTTAGGGGAAGAGGAGAGGAAGGGAACAGTAGGTGCAAAGGCCCTGAGGCAGAAAGGAGGAGGCACATTGGAGGATGGAGAGAGGCCACCAAGAGGGAGAGGCACAGGAACTCCAGGACAGTGTTGGAGAATGAGGTGGGGGCTGGTCTCCCCGGGCTTCCTGGGCCTTGTAGACATGCTGACTTCCAACTTTTTCCTGAGAGGCATGGGAGCCACTGAAGATTTTAAATGGGAGTGATGTGATCAGATTTGCATTTTCCAAAGTCACTTTGACTGCAGGACAGAGAATGGAGTGCAGGGAGTGAGAGTAAATCAGGGTAACCAGTGAAGAAACAGTGTTACTCCTGCCAAAGATGATGGAGACTTTGAGATGGAGAGAAATGGACACATTTCAGACCTAATTGAACAGGGGAATCTAAAGGATTTGGTACCTGAGGAATGTGGAGGGGTGAAACATGGATGACTTCTAAGTTATTTCCTGAGGCAGGTACTTGGGATAGGAAGTCCATCGGGAGTGGTTGGGGGCGGTGAGTGAGAGGTGCCTGTGGGCCACACTGTAGATGAGGGAAGTTACGGAGTTATGGAGCTGAGGAGCCAGACCTCAGTGGGAGATAAAGGCTCTCGAATCATCAGGATCTGACACTGATGAAAAGTCTTGCTCATGGATAAGTGGTTTCAAACATGTAGAGTCACAAAATCTGTGTTTAAGAAGCATCCCCCAGCCTGGATGGGGTTGTGTGGGGCCCAGCTGGAGCCTTAGTTAACCTGGGCTCCAGCTCTTCCCTGGGGGCCTGGAAAGATATCTCTTGCGGGTGAAAGTAATTCCAACATCTTTTCCTTGGAAGATGCAGGAATGGCCCAGGCCCCTCCCCAAAGCTTGTTCTGGCTCCCCTGGGATCCCAGCTCTGGATCTGCCTCTACTCTTTCTCAGCTGAGTCCCACAGGCCGGGGGAGGGCTTATCCCTGGAAATCACACGGCCTTGAGCAGGTCACGGCCAGGTTCTGGATGGAGGGAGGGAGCCTCAGTGGGAGGGTCGTGCTGTGTGCCAGGTACTGCACATCCCTTTTTAAAGTATCATCCCGGTTTTGTAGATGGCATGGCAGACACCCTAGCCCCACTCCTTGGCCTTGCCCAGGACCTGCCAGGGGCCACCTTCTTGGAACCCAGAGAGTCTGTGCCCACCCCGGGGTTGTGTCCAAGCTGTGTTTAACATTCTATCGATTCAACACTAATAAAATTCTATTTTATCTTTATACGTTACCTATTATATTTAAGATGTACAAACTAGACACTGTTCTAAGCCCCTTACAAATATTAACTCCTTTTATTCTCATAGCACCCCTAGGAGGTGGGTCCTCTTATCATCCCGGTTTTGTAGATGAGAAAACCAGGCTCAGAGAGGGGAAGCCACAGGCTGAGGTCACCTAGCTGGGAAGTGGAGGTGCCAGGATTGGGCTTGATGTCTGTCTGAGGCCAGAGCCTGTGCTGACCCGCCAGACAGGAAATCAGAGCCAGGGACTGGCTGCTGGGCTGCTCAAGTGGGCGATGGGTATGATGGGGGCTGGGGGTAAGAGCAGGAAGGAGGTTCCATGCCTGGCTGGGGTCTTATTGGGCTCAGCTGGGCTCGGACCCCTTGGCAATGCCCAGCAAGCTGCTCCCGCCTCATTCATGCTGCGAGGTCCCTGGGGTGGCCCAGGCGCCAGGCCGGGCTGTGGATCTGACACCTCCCGCTACGAGCTCTGATCAGAATCTGGCTCCAGGGCAGGGGGCGAAACTGAACCCAGACGGGCTCCTCTGGCTTGGATGGCATGGCAGACACCCTAGCCCCACTCCTTGGCCTTGCCCAGGACCTGCCAGGGGCCACCTTCTTGGAATCCAGAGAGTCTGTGCCCACCCCGGGGTTGTGTCCAAGCTATGGCCTCAGCCCTGAGCTCTGGGCTCCAGGGTCCCCAGGGAGCCCAGGCCCAGGCCCCCGCCCTGCCAGCTCTCAGGTGAGCTGTGGGGATCAGGTTCCTGTGGTTTCATGTCCTGCATTGTTCTTGGCTGGGCCCCGGCTTATGAAACAGTAATGAGGGGCCCCTGCTCCCGCAGCCGGCCCCTCTAAGGTTTCTGCTGCCTCGGCCGCCGCCGCCACGGCCCAGAGTCGGGGCCTGGGAGGGCCGCAGCGTGGGGGCCTGAGCCGGAGCCCCCCGGGGACGAGGGTGCTGACAGCCGCCAGCCGCCACCGCCGGAGCCCGCCGTCCAGGTAACCCGAGAGGAGGCGGGGTGCAGGGTGCTGTGGCCGCTGTCTCCCACCACCAGGGGAGGGCCCTGCCACCCCGGGAGGTGGGGAGGAATGGGGGGGCCTTCCCGGAGGTGAGCAGCCGTTCCCCCTGGGTGAGCCCAACACCAGCCTTCACAGGTGTGGCCTCAGTGAGGGCGGAGGGAGAGAGAAGCCAGCAGTCCGCTCAGGGCCTCGCCTCCACCCTGGGGCCCCCTGCCCTCCTTCAGTGGGCAAATCTCTCCGATGAGGCCTTCTTTCCCCATCTCCTGCCTCAGACAGCCTCTTCCTCCCTCCCTTCCTCCCTCTGCAGGCTGGTTTAACCCTTCTTCCCCACCCTCCTGCCTCCTCCTTTCTAGCTACAGAAAACTCTTTGGTCCCTTCTGTGCACTTCATGTCCTCAGGCACACACACCTACATATGTGCCAACACATATAAAGGAACTTGCATGCACTTATGCAAACATGCACTAGTGTACCCCCCGGCCTTGCATATACATGCATGCACGTGTGCACAGCTGCACACACACAGGCTTTTATACGCCCACATACCTGTACACACGTGTGCATGCACACACTGTACCTCGGTCTGCCCTCAGCCTGGATCCCCAGGGGCGCTTCCAGCCTGATGGACAGCTCTCCTGAGAAGTCTGAGATCCTAGGAGGAGATGCCTGGAGACTTCCACACCGCCTGGTGGGGGGAGGGGCCGCGCAGGGGGAGGGGAGCCCCCACGTGGGCCATGAGGTGCCTCCTCTCTGCAACTCTGTCCCAGGAGCCCGGGAGCCCTCCAGGTGCGGAGGCACCCTACTGCGACCTGCCCCGCCGCCCGCCTGCCTCTGAGGACCTGCACAGAGCCTCAGCCTCCGGGTGCCAGTCTGCGGTGGGCCTCGGCCTTGGGCCAGAGTCCGAGAGGTGGGTAGAGCTCCAGGGCCTGGGGAGGGGCTCCCTGGGGTAGCCCTCACTTACCCCACCCCACACCCCTTCACAATGGCAGCGTCTGTCTATGGTGGCTGCTGGCGTGGGTCACATGGTCAGTCCATACAGCTGGGCACACGGGCATGTTCCTGGGGCCCTAGCTCAGCTTTATTCCAGGGTGCAGAGCACCCACGCACCCACCCTGCCCTGGGCATGGCTCACAGCCTGCTTACATTTCCTTGTTCCCTTTGCACAGCTTTAAAAAATTAAACAGGTTTACCACCCACCTGTCTGATTGTGCATGGCTCCAGGCTCTGGGATTCCCTCCACCCCCATCCTGAGCTGCACTGAAGTCCCTTTGGGGCTGAGGGGCTTTGGGAGGGCATGACTGAGGGTCTAGAAACCTGGGGTCCTGTTTCAGCCTCATCCCTGTTGGGCTGTGGGACCTTGGGCAAGTTATTCCCTCGCTCTGTGCCTCAGTTTCCCCATTTGAAAAATAAGAAGAATTGAATCAAACCAGCATTGCTTTGGGAACATGTGTTCCTCACAGGTAGACTTTTTTTAAAAAACCAAAAGCTCTGCCATCAAATAGTTTCAGAAAGTCTGGGACCCACAGAGTTGGATGCCTTTCTTGCAGGACTTGTCCAAGCCTGTAGTTCGCAGACATGCACTGTGCTTCTGAAGGGGGGAGGTAGACGTGTGTAGTCTGTCCCAAAGTTATTTGACTGCAGGCCTCTTTCTTGGGGGTCAGCACCCCTTTCCATCTCGCAGGCCAATCCGTGGGCCACTCCTTGGGGATACTGCCAGCTCTAAGCCTGCTAAGGCCCGTGGCCACCCTCGCTGGCTTCCCCTAAGCAGGGCTTTCTCTGCAGTGGCCTCCCTTGGCATCCAGACTGCTGCCCCTGCCACTGCCCCTGGAGCTCTGCTACCTCTCAGAGCCCCCCATTAGCTCAGCACAGTTATGTCGGGGCTTCCTGAGCGTGGGTCCCCACTGCTGCTCCAGTGACAGAGGGTCGAGGCTGGTACCACAGCCCTGGTTCACAGTGCAGCGCTGCCCTTTTCTAGTTCTGTGATCTTGGCCAGTCCCTGGGCCTCTCTGAGCCTCAGTTTCTTCATCTGTAAAATGGGAATCATTACACTCATTTCAAAGAGAGGCTGTTGTAGCTAAACCAGGCGGACATAGAGAGCCCTGGTGTCAGCTCCCTCTTCCCCTGTAACGTGAGGTGTGTGTGTACCTGGATGGGGGTGTTACTTCTTAATTCCCATAACTTTTGGGGGAAAAGTCATGTGTCTGTCTCCTCTCTCAGGAGGCCAGTGACAGGGCTCCCTGCAGAGGGCCCCTCAGCCACCCCCAGGAGCAGGAGCTGGGACTCCGAGGCAGTGCCCTATCTGGAGGGCCCAGCCTCCTCCCTGTGCAGCTTCGACGAGGGCCCCGACTCTGGCACCAGCTCCAGCCCTGACTGTGACGCCCCTGATGATACCAGCAACTCGTCCTCTGTGGTGAGCTGGGGCGGGAGGCTGAGGGCATGAGCAGATCACCCCTCTGTGCCAGCCCCGAACTCCCATAGGAGGCCTGGGCCTCACACCAGGGACCTGGGCCAAGGGCCCCTGGAGGCCTAGTGGGTCAGGCTGCCCCGACCACCCCACCTGGGAGAGGTAGGGGCCGGTGCAGGAGGGCCGGGCTCTGCCTATGAAATAATGGAGGAAGGAGTTTTGGTTGATGGGCTCTCCATGGGAATCACCAATGGGCTCAGGTTGCCAAAAACTCTCAGGTCACAGGTCACAGAGGGCCAGGAGGTTGGATGTTTTGTCCAGAGCAAGGATGGGATTGGTCCTGGCCCTGCCTTGGTTATACACCACTGCACCCTATGACCAGCGCTGGCAGAGGACAGAGGGAAGGGAGTAGGCTGGGGGTGGGGTGGGTGCTGGGCAGAGCTGGGCCGTTTCCCTGAAAGAAGAAGGGAATCAGGAACTTCCTGGGCATTCACCCCTCAAAGGGCCACCCCAGGGTAGAAGAGGCAGACTGTCTGTGAGACCTCCAGGAGGAAGTGACAGGGAAGTGATGAGGCAGCCAGCATGGGCTCAGGAAGGCTCACCACCCTGCTTTATGGCACTATTTGGGGGCAAGAAAACTGAGACTCAGAGAAGGGAAGCAATTTAGTGGAAGCCGTACATCTGGGAAATGGTAGGGCAAGGCTTGAAACTACTTCTCTCTGGATCATGGGGTTGTCTCTGGGGCGGGGACTGCTATGCCAAGGCCCTCCTACCACATGGTGCACCCTGGGTTCAAGTCCCCTCCCACGTAAACCATTTCCCAGCTGTGTGATTTCGGGCAAGTTCTTGGCTCCACAGACTGCCGACCTCAGGAGTGGATTCAAGATTAGTTGAGTTGACACCTAAGAGCCCAGCATAGTGCTGGGTATACAGTAGGTGCCCTTTCAATGCCAGGTCCTTTCCTTCCTTCTACCCATCTCATGCTGGGGGTCTCTCTTCTTAATCTCCAAGCACGCTTTCTCCTCTCCTTCCCTGGCAGGACTGGGACGTTGTCAAAAGGCAGGAGGAGGCTCCCGGCGGGGACGAGATCACCGAGATGATCCCTCGGAAGCTGCAGGAGGGGTCAAGAGCTGACAGCACCCACAGGGCTCCGTCCGTCCTCACCCGGTCCCCTGTGGGAGGAGACACTGCGAGCCAACGGAAGGAGGGTGAGTCCTTCTGCCGGACCAGGTTGGCTCCTGTGACTGGATGGAGTGATTGCTAGGGGCCATCTGGGTCCCTGGGCACGTCTCACTTTGCTGGCTCAAGTCCTAATAATAGTAACAGTCTCATCTAATGATGGAGCAGGCGTGCTGTCCATGCAACCTGCTTTACATACATCTCCCACAGTTGGGGGTTAGGATCTTCAGGTGGCAAGTGACAAAGTAGCAGAGTAAAAAGTTGAGGGGGAGCCTGACCAGCATGAGTCAGTGATTGAGTGTTGACCTACGAATCAGGAGGTCATATTTCAAGTTCCCGGTTTTGGGCTCGATCCCCAATGTGGGGCGTGCAGGAGGCAGCCGATCAATGATTCTCTCTCATCATTGATGTTTCTATCTCTCCCTCTTCCTTCCTCTCTGAAATCAATTAAAAAATAGATTTTTTAAAAAAAGTCTAGGGGGAGATGACTTCAGGCATAGCTGGATCCAGGTGCAAACAGTATCAGAAATCTGGCCTCTGCTCCGCTTTCTTCTGTGGTGGCTTCATTCTCAGCCAGACCCTCCCCCATAGTGACATGATGAGCAGCAGCAGTGCCAGGCTGTATCCTACTTGCTTATCAACTTCCACAAACAGAAGGTACAATCTTCCCAACAGATGTAGCTAAAGTCCTAGGAAGGCTTCTCCAGGGGACCCAGCTTGGGTCATGTGCCCAATCGGGGATGAGGGGTAGGGTCAGCCCCCTGCACAAACCTATGGCTTGAGAGTGGGGAAGAGGGGATGGTCCAAAGGAAATCAGGGTGGTGTTCCCAAGGGAAGGGGAAAGGCTGCTGGTCAGGCCAAGCCCAGAGAGTCACGTGACGCCGGCTCCCACAGCTTGGGCCCTCCCATCACTGCTACACTGTGTTGCTCCTGATCTGCATTTCCAGCATCGTCAGGGTTCGGGGATATGGGCCCGAGCATCCAGGTCCTACCCTGGTGGGCAGGCCTGGCTTCCTATGGCTCCTATAGCATCCAGTCACCAAACATGCCAGTGCTAACTGTGCACAAACCTGGTACCAGACATTGGGTGCTCAGGAGGAATTACCTGGTTCCTGCCCAGACAGCTCATCCCCCAGTACAGCAGCCCAGGACGGAGGAGGAGCAGAAGCACGTGCCCTGCTGTGAGCAAAGGGCTGTGTGGGAAGTGGGGGCAGAGGACAAAGAGCTTCTTTCCAGCCAGGGAGGGACTCACAGAGGAGTGGCTCCTGGACATGGTGCTCTGGCTGAGGAAACAGCCTGGCCAGGCGTGGAGGTGTGAATGGGGAGTACTCTGGAATGTGCAGCTAGAGCACAGTTGCTCAGACCACCCTGGGCCAAGGAGTTTGGACTCACTTCTCTAAGGAGTAGGGAGCCATGGGAGGATTTGGAGGAGAGGAGTGATATGATTGGACCTGTGCCTGAAGAAATTCACCAGGGCGAAGTGTGAAGGATGGAGCAGGACGAGGCTGAGAAACCAGTAAAGGGACTGTTGCAGCCACTGTAGTGATAACTGATTTAGGCAGGAATCACCGGCTGATGCTAAATTCCTGGGTGAAAGGTGGTTGGGGAACAGGATATTCACACGATCTCAAAGTATCACCCCTCAGATTACACATCGATTACAGAGGGAAAAGGCACCCTTAGGATGGGAAGATCTGGCAGTTCTTCCTTAACCAAGGGGCCGCTCAGCATCCCAGCGGGGGCAAAGTGGCGTCAGGTGCCCCCATGTGATGCACGGGGGGGACACAGCATCCTTTCCAAGTCTTCTGGCTAAAAATGCACCGCCTGCATCTGGTCCCACCAAAAGACGAAAAAGGCCTGGGGAACTATTCTCGAATAAAAGAGGCTACAGAGACAGAGAAGCAAATGCCATGTGGGATCCTGGAGAGGAGCAAGGATAGGAAAAGTTATAACTATGGAAGACATTATTGTGACAGCCAGGGAATTTGAATATGAGTGTATGTTAGAGAACAGTTTCGGACCCACGCTGTATTTCCTGAGTGCGGTGGTGGGAGGAAATGGTCCTTGCTCATAGGAGATGCATTAGGAGAGCATTGGGGGTGAAGTGTCATGAGGTCTTCAACTCTCACATGTTCAACAAGATAGATGATAGGAAGATAGAGAGATAGACACAGGTAGATGACAGGTAGGTAGTAGGCAGATGCGTGGATAAAGCAGATGAGACAAACTGTTAACAGCTGGTCACTCTGGGTGAAGAATTGCTCTGTGGGTGATGGACGCACCATTCCTGTAACCCCTCTGTAGCCCGTTGCAATTGTCCAAGGGAGAGATGGAGAAACCTGATTAGGGCGGTGGCTGTGGCTGAGGAGGGGACAGAGAAGGAGAGAGGTTTAGGAGGTGGACTTGATGGGACTGGGGACAGGAGAACACACGGTCCCAGCTGCTGGTCTGGGTGTCTGTGTGGACGGCAATGCCTTTCACTGACCGTGGAGAACTGGGGAGGAGGTGCAAGCAGTGTGGGCCGGGGTGGATCCAGAGCCCGGGAAGAGGTGTAGATTCGGGGAAGAGGTGTAGAGCTGGCTGCTCAGTGATGGGTCAGGACCATTCTCTGGCTACTCCTTTGCTGATGCCTCTTCCTCCGCTCGACCTTCAAATATGGATGCCCCAAAGCCTGGTCCTGGGCTCCCTTCTCTCCTCTCTCTGACAACTTGACAACACCTGGCTGTCAACACTATCTGGAAAAATTGGCATCTCCTGGGTTCACACCTCTGGCCTTGATCTCTCCCCTGACCTCTATCTAGTTCATTGTACAACTGACCTCTTCACTGGGGTGTAGGATAGCACCTCACACTCAACACAGCTTCTTCATTTCACTCATTCGATAAGTATTTATCAAGCACCTACTGTGTGCCAGGCCCTATCCTAGTGCTAGAGAGCCAGAGGGGAGAAGACAGACAAGACCCAGCCCCTGGAGCGGGCCCTCCAGTGGAGAGAAGCTGACAGAAAACAAACAGGAAGCCAGAGCAGAGAGCGGCAGCTGCTTTTGGGAGAATTAAGACAGGAAACTGTGAGAGCAACTGGCCAGGTGGACAGGGAGGGCCTAGGGCAGTGATGGCGAACCTATGACACGCGTGTCAGAGGTGACACGCGAACTCATTTTTTTGGTTGATTTTTCTTTGTTAAATGGCATTTAAGTATATAAAATAAATATCAAAAATAGAAGTCTTTGTTTTACTATGGTTGCAAATATCAAAAAATTTCTATATGTGACACGGCACCAGAGTTAAGTTAGGGTTTTTCAAAATGCTGACACGCCGAGCTCAAAAGGTTCACCATCACTGGCCTAGGGGGAGGGGGGATGGCATTGTGGCTGAGGTCTGAGTTCACAAGCAGAAGGAACAACCAGTGCAGAGGCCCTAAGGAGTGGACAGAGGTGCTGGGTTCGAGGAGCAGAGGAAAATGGGTGGAGAGGAGGCCACCAGCCACCCAACTCTCCCTCCAAACCTGTTTCTCCTGCAGTCTGTTCTGTGTCACCACCCGCCCAGCAGCTGGGCCCCAAATCCTGATTCCTTTCTTCCTTCACCCTTTCGACCACCAGCAGCTCTGCTCAGCGCTGCCTTCAAAACACACCTCCAATCTGTCCCTGTCTTGCTGTCTCTACCATAACCCCCTGGCCAAGCCACCATGGCTGCCGCTGCCCGGCATTATTGCCAGAGCCCCTCAAGCTCTCCCGCTCCTGCTGGCCCCTTCAGTCCATTCCCCCACAGCAGCTGGAGCCATCTTTTAAAACATTAATCAGATCTTGTCACCTCACCGCCCCATCCCACTGCCCTGTCCCCTCAGGCCCTGGGGAGACTGGTGAGAATAACACATGGAGACCCAGCGCCTCCCTGGTGTGAATGGGTGATAGGCACCTGCTTTCTTGCTCTTAAACACATGAGCAGTGGGTGGGGGGAGCCTCCTCTCTGACCTGCTGATCAAAGGCAGTCACCTCCACTGTCCACCTGGTGGCAGGGGCCCAAATTGCAGGCAGGGTGCCAAGGCCCAGGAGGAATTAGCCAAATCCAAGGCGCTAGAAACTCCTTGACATCCCTCTTGGGGCATCTCTCAGTTTGCAAAGCACGCGCTCCCCTCACCTTGCATTGCCTCTTCTCTCTTAGATCCGGGTGGCGGGAGCCGAAGCGCCGGGCAGCACTGGGCGAAGCTCCGGGGAGAAAGTGGGCACTTCTTGGAGCGGCACCGGGCTTCCTCCGCGACACCACAGAGCGGACCTCGAAGTACCACCCCCCAGGCTTCCTCTCTCCATCGCTCTGCCCAAAGGGACGCTGCCCAGACGGCTTCCATACAACTTGATGCCCCCCGAGCTTCCTCTCCCTCCCAAACAGCCCAACGGGACAACCCCAGAACCTCGTCCACCCAACAGGACACCCACAGGGCTTCTTCCACGCAGCAGAGCACCCCCAGAACGGCCTCTCCCTCAAGAATCACCCAACGGGATAACTCCAGAACCTCGTCCACCCAACGGAGCAATCCTCGAGTTTCCTCTTCCCCCAGAGCCGCCCAACAGGACAACTCCAGAACCTCTTCTACCCAACAGGACAACCCTCAGACTTCTTTTTCTGCATGTACTTCTCAACAGGAAAACTCCAGAACATCCTGTGCCCAGAGGGACAACCCCAGAGCTCCTCTCCCAACCGGACCACCCAGCGGGAAAACTCTAGATCGTCCTGTGCCCAAAGGGACAACCCCAGAGGTTCCTCTCCCAACCGGACCACCCAGAGGGAAAACTCTAGAACATCCTGTGCCCAGAGGGACAATCCCAGAGGCTCCTCTCCCAACCGGACCACCCAGCGGGAAAACTCCAGAACTTCCTGTGCCCAAAAGGACAACCCCAGAGGCTCCTCTCCCAATCGGACCACCCAGCGGGAAAACTCTAGAACTTCCTGTGCCCAGAGGGACAATCCCAGAGGCCCCTCTCCCAACCGGACCACCCAGCGGGAAAACTCCAGAACTTCCTGTGCCCAGAGGGACAACCCCAGAGGCCCCTCTCCCAACCGGACCACCCAGCGGGAAAACTCTAGGTCGTCCTGTGTCCAAAGGGACAACCCCAGAGCCTCTTCTCTCAACCGGACCACCCAACGGGAAAACTCCAGAACTTCCTGTACTCAGCAGAACACCCCCAGAACCTCTTCTACCCAACGGAACAACCCACAGTCCTCTTCCTTCCGGCGGGACCACCCCGGGAGCTCCTCCCCTCAGTGCTGCACCCCAAAGAACAATCCCAGGCCATCATCTCCCCATCGCTCCACCCAGCGGAATAACCCCAGGAATCCTTCTCCCCATCGTACTAACAAAGACATCCCCTGGGCCTCCTTTCCCCTCCGGCCCACCCAGAGCGATGGTCCCCGGACCTCCTCCCCATCCCGCTCCAAGCAAAGTGAGGTTCCCTGGGCCTCTATCGCCCTTCGGCCAACCCAAGCTGACAGGCCTCAGACCTCATCTCCCACCAAACCAGCTCAGCGTGACTCCCCCCAGTCCTCCTCGGGCCCGCCCCAGCACAGCTCACCAGCCCGGGCCTCTTCTTCCTCGCACAACCCCGGCCCCCACGGCGCCCCCCGGACTTCCACGCCTCTGTACCTCACCCGAGGGGCATCCCAGACCTCTTTCGAGTCCTCCCAGCCTCCCTGTGCCGTGTGCATCGGACACCGGGATGCCCCCCGAGCCTCTTCGCCTCCTCGCTACTTGCAGTATGACCCGTTTCCCTTCTTCCCAGACCCCCACGCCTCTGAGAGTGAATCCACTCACCACGAGCCGCCCTATATCCCCCCGGCCGTGTGCATCGGACACCGCGATGCTCCCCGGGCCTCCTCACCCCCTCGCCACACCCAGTTCGACCCCTTCCCCTTCCTCCCGGACACATCAGATGCTGAGAACCAGTCGCCCCAGCATGACCCTCCCCAGTTCCCCCCGCCTGTGTGTATCGGATACCGTGATGCACCCCGGGCCTCCTCCCCTCCGCGCCAGGCCCCTGAGCCCTCCCTCCTGTTCCAGGATTTCCCCAGGGCCAGCACCGAGAGCCTTGTCCCCTCCACAGACTCCCTGCACGAGCCCCCCCACATCCCCACCCCTGTGTGCATTGGACACCGAGATGCACCCTACTTCACGTCCCCCCCACGCCAGGCCCCTGAGCCCTCCCTCTTCTTTCAGGACCCCCCTGGGACTAGTATGGAGAGCCTGGCCCCCTCCACTGACTCTCTGCATGGCTCCCCGATGCTGCCCCCCCAAGTGTGCATCGGGCACCGGGATGCACCTCGAGCCTCCTCCCCACCCCGCCACCCACCCAGTGACCTAGCCCTCCTGGCACCCTCACCTCCTCCAGGCAGCTCAGGGGGCTCCCGGGGCTCAGCACCCCCTGGGGAGACCAGGCACAACTTGGAGAGGGAGGAGTACACCGTGCTGGCTGACCTGCCCCCGCCCAGGAGGCTGGCACAGAGGGAGCCAGGGCCCCAGGGCAGCAACGGGGGCCGAACCCGCAGCCCTGGCCGCGCAGAGGTGGAGCGCCTCTTCGGGCAAGAGCGCAGGTGAGCCCAGGGTGGGGTCAGCCAGGTGGGCTGGGGAGGAGCCTCGGCAGCAGGACAGGTGGAAGGTTCAAGGCTTAGGTTGCCGGATGGAAAGGGTTGTCCCCTGCCCTGCCACTTACTGGCTGTGTGACCTTGGGCCAGTCACTTCATCTCTTTCCCTAAGTTAAGAGGTTTTTTTGACGATGAAGTGATATTGTGCAGAGCCTGGTGGTTAAGAGCAAAGACCAGGGTCAGGCAGGCTGGGTTCAATCCTGTGTCAAAGCCACTCCCCATCTTTGTGACCTGGTAAAGTTACCGCCTGAGCCTCAATGTCCTCATCTGTACAATTCGAACGTTATCCATTCACTGAAATGAGGTTAAGCTCTCAAACCCTAATGTGATCCATAGTCACAGGTTTGTTTATTTTTCCCCCTCCTTATGTGAGGGAAGAAAGTGCTCATGATTTTGTTCTGCCGTAACAAAGAAGACTCGTGGCTACCCATGCCTCTTGGAAAAGAGATGTCAGGTTAAACTATATAGCCAGAGCCATTATTGTAATGAAGAGAACTCAGAATCACAGACTTTTTAGAGGTTAAAGGTTACTTTCCTGGGATGTGGTGACAAGCCCTAAGTCCAGGCCTCCTGGAGTGCTGGGTCCTGGGGCCACTCACACAGCCCCGGGAGGGGAGGCATTACCCCTGCTCTGCGGAGATTTCTCTCTCCAGCAGTCCCAGCCTCAGGAGTTTTCAGGACCAGGGCTGGAATTCCATTAGTCAGGGTTGAAAGAACAGCAAACAAGCAGGTCTGGAAGTCTCAACGCTTTCAGTGTATAATGAATTATAGCGTATTTACCAAGACCATCACCACAACCCAAATGTAGAACATTTCCAGCACCCTAAAGAGCGGGTAATATTTTACATCCAGAATTCCTCTCTCTGTCATCCCTGAGGCAACATTTTATCTTAGATTAGAATCTGTGCGAGAAATCTTATCTTTCATTCTTCAAATTTCCGTTTCTTTCTTGTTTTTGTTTTTGTTTTGTTAATCCTCATCTGAGGATATTTTCCCGCATTGATTTTTAGAGATAGTGGAAGGGAGGGGGAGAGACAGAAAGAGAAAAAACAGCCATGTGAGAGAGACCATTGATTGATTGGTTGCCTCCTGGGCTGCGACCCTTCAGTCCTAAGGCTCACCTAGGGCTCAAATTTCTTTTTACAGTAACTTCAATCCATTTACTATCCAGATGACAACCTTTAAGGTCTCCAGCATTAATATAATTATTTCTTTGGCCTTTTAAAAATTAAACAGACACTAATTTTTAAAGCAGTTTTAGGTCCACAGCAAAGCTGAGTGGAAAGTACAGAGAATTCCCATACATCCCGTTTCCCCCACACGCCTGGACTCCGCTCACTACCGGCCAGAGGGTACATTTGCTACAAACCATGAACCGATACTGACACGTCATTAGCATCCAAAGTTCATAGTTTACGTTAGGTTCACTCCTGGTGCTGCACATGCCAGGGGTTTGGACAAATATACAAGGACACGGATCCACTATGATGGTATCATCCGGAATAGTTTCACTGCCCTAAAACCCCCTTTGTCTTTGCCTTTTTATGACGACGATTTTTAGTCAGACGTCAGTTTGTGTACTTTAACTTTTATCTGATAACTCAGTAGGAACAGTAAGGTCTTTAAACCTAAGTTAAATTTTCTTTCTTTTTTTTCCTACTGGGGTAACTTTTAGAGAGATAAAGGTTTATAATAAAAGTCCAGAATATGTTTATACTTTTATTAATCATTTAATTGTTTTTACACATATACTTTTATTCATTTTATTTTATTCTTTGAAATAGATTATTTACCTTTTTTAGCTTTATTGAAGTATAATTGGTATATAAAAATTGCATATGCTTAAGTATATATTTTGGAGAAATAGATGACGTACCTTTTAACCAAGGTTTTATAACTCTACTGAGTAATTAAATTTTCTCCTGTTGTATGGCATTTTTTCCAAGTAGAAAACCATTCTTAGTCTGAAAATGAAGTTTTAAAACCTATTTGAGTATCTGGAAGACTGAAATTTATGAGTGGGTGACTATAGACAGTACGTTTATTATTTTCTCCTATTTCAATTAACGTGTATTTATTGAGCATCTACTCTGTCCAAGCATTGTACTAACTAAGCCTGGAAATTTTCCCTTAATGGCTCTCACATTAAAGCATTAGGAATTTTGACTTGATATCTTCATTTTCTTCTTCCCTGGATGCCTTTGGAATCTCTTATCTTAGAATCACATAAGCACTTCCTAGTCTCTTAAATTCAAAACAGCCTTCATGGAATTTGCTAGACTTGACAGCTTTGTCCTTTAAACTTTGTGGAGGTGGAAGAGCCCATTCATTTCCTTTATCAGCCCTGTGCAGCCACATCAGCCTCAGGAACAGGTGGCCCGAGGGCCCTGTTGCTGCCCAGATTCTACCTGAGTCTTCACTCCTCTCTCCCAATTCCACATGGAGGGGGCTCCTCAGGAGGAACTGAGCAAGCAGGAGTTTATACGGAAAACGCACTCACTTGGAGAGAACACACACGGTGCCTCGCTACCCCGCACGGAGTACTCTCCGTCGCTGTCACAGTGTCCTCCCCACCGGGTCACGTTTCGGGCTTTTGCTTCACAGAGGCCCCTGCACCCTGGTTCTGGAGGAAAAGCCCTCCAAGGCCTCAGCTCTCACAGAGCACGGAACCTCCCTCGCTTCAAATTAGGTTAAAAATGGAACCTGATCAGGTAGCCCGCAAACTTAGAAACACTTAGTCCAGTGGGAAGCTTGGGTTCCCTGTGAGTCAACTGCTAAAAGCTCCAATTACTTTATGGATTTGATTTTAGTGACATCGGCAAAAGCCATAAGACAACAACAGACCCCCAGCCCATGATTTGTTTTCTCTCCGAAGCCTCTGTCGGGTTCCAGCATGGCTCCCATGCTGGGGGCAGACTCCAAGCACAGTCCCTTCCCAGACCAAGCAGAGGTTCCTCTTACTTTCCTCTTTGCTGGCTCTGTCAAGGCTCAGCACTAGGCCGTCTGTTCAGGCCACTCCCAGGTCAGCTCGGCCACCGGAGATAGAGCTCCACTTGTCCATGTAGATCAGCGGTTCTCAACCTGTGGGTCGCGACCCCTTTGGGGGTCGAACGACCCTTTCACAGGGGTTGCCTAAGACCATCGGAAAACACATATATAATTACATATTGTTTTTGTGATTAATCACTATGCTTTAATTATATTCAATTTGTAACAATGAAATTGGGGGTCACCACAACATGAGGAACTGTATTAAAGGGTCGCGACATTAGGAAGGTTGAGAACCACTGATGATGGAGCCAGACTCAAACCCTGTTGGACTAGATACCCAGCGGAGCGGCCCGGTCTTTTGTTTTGACCCCTTACATGTGGGAGGGGAGAGACGGGCCCAGAATCTGTTTGGTATGCCTACGTGCAACAGAGATGTCATGTTAAATATTAATAGCCATGGCTACCAATGACTAAGACAGCTAAGTGGAACGAGGGACTTTTACCAGCTTAGAGCTTATCTGTGACAGACGTGGCAACAACGCCTGAAGCCTAGGTGTCTTGGAAACGACCTTTTATGCTGGCCGTCCTGGAGTTGTGTAGGAAGAGGGAACATTTCTGTTACCAACAGCTGGAATGGCCCGGTGTTTTCAAGGCCAAGTGCAGGAATCTTGTTAGTACTGAGGAAGAGAAGGGTGGGCCTGGGAAGCCAAAAACTTACCATGTAGACTGACAGATGGCAGAAAGAATGGAGTATGAGGGCGTGAGCATTCTGCAGCTCCCGTCCCCACCCCACGGGGGTTGCGTGAGATGCGATGAGTTGAGATGGTACAAGTGCTTGGCACCTGGAACACAAGAAGTGCTCAATAAATGTCCGCCGTTACCATCATGTGTACACAGTGCCTGTGACCAGTAGGTGCTCAATAAACCTTACTTCCCACAAAGACCAGTCTAACCTTTGTTTGGGGTTGAGAGATGGGCTGTTGGCTGGGTGGCAGTCAGAAACAGGAGGTACTGAGAGACAGGAGGCAGGCAAGGCCAAGGCTGAGCCCCACCTTTGCTCATCCCTTTTCCCATTTCACCTCCACAACAGCCCCATGAGGCAGGTAGAGCAGTGTCACCCATTTTTCAGAAGGGAATACTGAGGCCCTGAGAGGCTCATCCCTCCCTTAGGGCTCTTCAGCCGTGGGTCTCCTCTATCTCCTCCCGTTGGGGGTGGGAGTAGAGGCGGTGGGTGCTGGGAGTGGGACAGCCCCAAGGGCCCTCAGAGGGGCGGCTGCGTTTGCTCATAGGAAGTCCGAGGCACCAGGGACCTTCCAGGCCCGGGACGAGGGGCGGTCGCAGCGGCCCAGCCAAGGTCAGAGCCAGCTTCTCCGGAGACAGTCCAGCCCTGCCCTCAGCAGGGAGGTGAGCACTGCCAGCCTGCCCCGGCCCCTGCACCCCAAGGGGCGAGCCACTGCTTTTCCCCTCCCCCAGGTGCCAGGCGGGGTCCTGGGAAGGGAGGTCCTTTATGCAAGTGTCAGAGTCCCAACCACGGGTGTCCAGCTTCCCCCTCTCCCAGAGCCAGCAGTCCTTTGAAGGTGGCCCTTCCTTGTTGTTTCCTTCCTTCATTAAGTAGCTGCTAGCTTGAGTTTTCAGGGAAAGCCTCGGACTCAATAGTCCGCCTCTAAGGGCCATCCCTTCCAGGCCGGGGATTAATATTTTTATATATTTTTTAAAAAATATGTATATTTTTTTAATTAATTTCAGAGAGGAAGGGAGAGGGAGAGAGAGAGAGAGAAACATCAATGATGAGAGAGAATCATTGATTGGCTGCCTCCTGCACGCCCCCCACTGGGGATCAAGCCCACAACCCGGGAACTGGACCGTGACCTCCTGGTTCATAGGTCGATGCTCAACCACTGAACCACGCTGGCTGAGTGGGATTTATATTTTTAAAGAAACTCTTAGAGGGCAAGGCC